TAGTGTAAAGAATAAGATGACCTTGATAAAGATAGGCAGATCTGTTACCAAAGCAATGATAAGAACACACAGTAGGCTTAAAACAAGCAGAAGGGGAGAAGGCATAGACCAGTGATGGCTAACCTTTTTGCCATTGCGTGCCAGGAAGGGGGGGAGGGGGAGGTTCACGCACGCGCGTGCCCACACCCATAATTCTAAGCGCCCCGCCCTGCGCATTCGCGCCCAACCCCCCCTCTCCCCTTGCTCCTGGACAGTTTTTCTTTGTCACCTGGCTCCAGATCCTCACTATGCATCTGGGGAGGGCGAAAACAGCCTTCCCCACAGGCCCTCCGGAGGCAGAAAACTGCCTGTTTCCCTACTTCTGGTGGGCCCAAAAGGCCTGAAAATCAGGTGGCCAGCACGCACATGCGCGCCAGAGCTGAGCTGGCGTGCCCACTGATATGGCTATGCGTGCCACCTGTGGCACGCGTGCCATAGGTTCGCCATCACGGGCATAGACAATCAGACCTGCAAGATTGTCTTATTGTAGCACTCTCAATGAAAACAGTCTTGCCCTTCTTGTGGTATTGGTTCTTGCTCAGATCTACCTGGTGAGGCTGAAAGATGAGTGGTAAATAGCACTATCTAAGCAAACTTTCCATTTGTTTGAGAATCAGATAATAATCCTAAAACATCATTGTAATTCGCTTTGTAACTGTCGTGCACATGCACCCAGTCAACTTGGATGCAAGATATTTTACTCACAAAATATTCATTACAAGTTTCACAGCTGGCTACTGTAGTTCACAGTTTGGATTCAGGAGAAGAGAGATCTGAATTAGTTTCATTTTCAACAGCTCCACTAGGGAAAATATGTGAATGCAATACATGTAGAAAGAAATGCTTCTTTGGTGTGTCTCACCAAAGCTTTCAGATGAGGTCTATGTTATGTCTCAAAGTCCAGTTTTTCTCTATTTGTACTTCAGCTATTTAAATGGCTTCCTACTTCAATTTCTATCTATGGCTGTAATAAGATCCCTGTTCTAGTCTTTACTGATGGCACAGTTATAATATTGTGTCCACTTATATTGATGTAATTACCAGTGGATCCAACTATAACATTTTCAGGATGATTTAAAAGCCTGCTACAGCCAATAACCTGTCTGAGATGGTCACTATAACAGAGTCAGCTTCCAGGAGATTGTTAGTGACAAGAAAATCTCAGAGCAAGAATATGGAAGATGTAGACTTGTAACTGCTACTGAAATCTGATTGTGAGAACAAAAAGTAGACAATCCACTGCATGGAGGCAGTGAAAGGGTGCTAGATGTGTAGAAATAAAAGTGGATAAGTGTTATTCCTCTGAGTAATTGTTATGAATTTAGTGAATCTAAACTGTTTGTAAATAGCAGTGTTCCTAAAATATAACAAAGATTAATTCCTAGCTAACCTGTTCAAATGTCTATGAAGCTAATGTCTTGGGGAACCTAACAATGTTATATTCAATGATTATTAGGGAGGAATAGCTACTAGTTGATATGATAGACTGATGAACACATGTACTGTTTCCATGCCTCAAACAGAGAAGCAGGTGTCACTACAACCTGATGATTTCTCTACCATCCTGGCCAAAGAGGGATTCTCGATGAAGAGACAACTTACAGATTTCAGCCGGAGACTTAGACACGTGCATAAATTTTGCTAGATATGAGACATCCACCTTGAAGATTCGGTAAAGAAGTATACTAAGTTTGAAATTTATGGTTTCCAATCAGGTGAGTGACTGGTACAAAATTAAAAAACTGAGTTCCAATTCTTAATGCAAGAACTGAGATCAAATGAGAATGCCTTGATAGTACAATAAAAAGAAATGTTTGATGAAATACAGGAAGAACTGGGACAGGATAGCACTCTCTTCATGTTGACTGCTTTAAATTGGGTCTGCCTAGATACTGAGAGCAGCTTCGGTTTAATGTGGGCATTGAGGGAAACTTCAGGTTAATGATAGATTTAATGCTTTCATCCCCCAATCTTCTCCTCCTTTCATAGGAAGCTATAGAGGCACAGTCTATGCAGCTGTATCCACATAGGAATACCTCCTCCCTAGGAAATGATATGCTATCACTCAGTAATCCAATGCTTGCATTGTGAACTGTGTACAGTACTTCGTTAAAGTGGCCTAGCCAAATAAATCACCCTAAAAGCATCAGTGCCTTGTACCATATTGATTGTGCAGGAGAGAATTAAGGATGGAAAGGATTAAGGATTCTGATAGTGAGAAGAAATTCTCAGAGCATAAATGTGGAAAATATAAATAAGCAATGGATACTAATAATTGACAGAGAGAGCAGCGAGTTATAAAGAGGGCATTGAATCTGAATCAGAAATTATACATTCTGGATCAACCTTGCATTATTTAATGATTATCAAGTGGCTGTAATACCTATAAGTCCTGGAACACCTATAAGTCATAAACTACAGTAAAGATTTGTTCCTGGACAAGTTATTGAATGTCCTAGTTTATGATTACCTGAAAAAGCCTGCCATGTTGTTAAGCCATCCCTTACAAGTAAACACTAAGGATGACATGTAGCACCAACAATCTGGATGCCTCCAATGCCAACTTCATAATCATTGTAGTTGGGCAGCTATAATAGATTTAAATAACAAATTTTAAAAAATTCTGACCAGCTTTGTTCTATTCACGGAACAAAGGCTAAAGAAGGGAGGCGAGGCAGGATAAACACTTCACAACATGTTTATTGGCTAACAATAACAGCTAACAGTGACTCGCTCTGGTTAGCTAACTACCATGGAGAGTGAGCAGCGTTTGAGGCACTGACAGCTCTTTTATACTCAGCTGTCAGAAGCTGGGCCAATCAGGAGCCACCAATTTCCCGCCGGCTGCCTGCCGGCACATGGACCAATTGGCTGCTCTATTGGCCGCTCGTGCTTGCCGTCCGGACGTAACAAGCTTAATTACAAATTCTATGGAAAAGTACTTGATGCATTGATAGAGCACCAAGCCTATTCTTACTTAGTAGTACGAGCCTTAGATAATTATACTTAATGACAAATAATTCAACCAAATAAGGGTAGTGTTATCCATGTGGATCACAGTCACACAATCTCTTCACACACTTTTCTTAGCCTGCTCCCCAACAGAATAACTGTAGGAACAGTTCAAAAATGGTGGCTGCTTCTTGAATCACCCCAATGACCACATGAGAAAGCAACCACTTCTGCTTTCCTAACCCAAGCTCCAGAGATCTTTGAAATGTATTTATTTTTTATTTATTTATTTATTTTATTTCTATACCGCCCTTCTCCCGAAGGACTCAGGGCGGTGTACAGCCTGATTAAAAGCACAAAAACAGAAAAAAATTAAAAATTAAAATTATTAAATAATTGGCTCAATTATAAAACCCCCAAATTTAAAATCCCATATTTAAAACCAATTAAAATCTTTACACTGATAGCCCGGCCTGGCGGAACAACAAGGTTTTGAGGGCACAGCAAAAAACACGGAGATCGGTAAGTGAGGAGGAGGGTGTGAGGACTGCTGGGTGTGAATCCCTGCAGATCTGACAGGAAGGCGTGCTCTAGGTCTCTTCTGTGAAACAGGATCATTTTGTAAGATCTATTGTGGTAGTTGCCCTGTGGAACAGCCTTGCCCTGGGAGGAAATGGAAGGAGTTCCGAATAGGTGCAATTCTGCTGACCTTCCAGAAGGCCATGAAAATCTGAGGTTTATCTTCAGGTGTTAGGACCAGGTTGCTAGTGGAGCCTGATGTGCAAGTTTCCAGGACAGTGAACTGCTTGATCCCTTGGCTTATTTTGTTATGATTGCTTTTCATTGTATTTTCTGTTCTAATTTTATGCTAGTTTTTGTACTATTGTTAACTATCTAAAGACTTATTCACTTAAGATGAGCAGTCACGTAAATATTCCAAATGAGTAAGTAAAACACACTAAACAGTTCTAATGTTCTCACAGTGCTGAGCTTCTCACATATGGGGGATGGGGTTGGGGAAACAGAGGTACCGTCAAAGTGAAGATATTCACGTTTATTCTGCCAACATAAGCATAACAATGCAAGAAAAAATAGGGCAAGCGTATAGCAGAACCTGGGAGTGGAGAGTGGGATTAAGAAGAATTAGAAGATAACTAGGCGTTCTTAAGGCAGAGCAAAATATTTATCAAGTTGTAGAAGTGCTCATGTATGGTCATTTTATTAAATATTGGGAACAGCCAAAATACTGACTAGAATACACTTTTGCTCCATGCATCATTGAAACAGGGAAGACACTAGTTAATGCTTACAGATAATTGAGGTTTTGTGCCCATTAACTTCACCAAAGTCAACTATAAAGAAAATATATATACACCAAATCCTCTTTGTTTGTCTTTTTCAGGATTGGGGGGGGTGGAGGGAGACAAGAGAAAGGCAAACATTTCAGAAGAATGATCTCACACTACAAAGATCAGCTGAATTCATTTCCAACCAGGTATTTTTAATGACATGGTTTTTCTTCAGTTTAGTGTTATATATTACAGCACTGCATGCTTTCCTCCTCAGCTTTATTGGTAAATTATTATTATATTCAAGAAAGAACTCTCAGACAAGAAATACCACACTCCTAGTTTCATAACCTCTGTAGGATTTTGGCAGACAGACAAATCTCACCTGCATATAATGTGAATCAACTTAAATGTCCCTGTGATTTCTTAATGTATGTTTAATATCAAAAAGATTATAAGGTACAACAGCAATTCAAGATATTTGGGAGAAATACAACCTATAACAATTCAAACAATGTTTCAACAGCAGCACTCATTATTTCTTAAATATTCAGACACAGATTCTCTTAAACATTTTCCAAATGTTCAGTATTGCTACTGACTGTATTTACTGTATCCACAAATGACCTTCCTAGATTTTATTAATTAATATTACTTTTTTGGTGTGTATGGCAGAAACAAAATATATGATTTCATTAGCTATGAAATGACTGTACTCACCAGTTGTCTCCACAATACCCTCTAGGATGACAACAATCTCAAACTGTTCAGTTTGCATGCTTCGCTGAGAAAGGTCATAGAAGGGGCTTTTTGAATCGATCACATGGCAGATTGTAAGTGGTGACACAAGAAAAAGTTGATCCGCGCCTGTGCTAAAACCTACATCCAGTTCAAGTTGATCGAGGGGCAGAAATTCACCTTCAGGAGTTTGCCGAGACTATAGCAAACATGAAGAAAGAAAAAGAAAGAAAGAGAAGTAATAAACTAGCATAGTTATTTTCAAAACAATATGACAATAGGTGATAGCCATACAGTACTTTTCACCATGAATCGTCCAAGTCAAATTCCAAGCAAACTGTTTAGGCACAAAGTTATTTTATAGAAAAAAAAGAAGGAAGGCAAAAGCTCTCCCAGTATCTTCTTACTACTACTGGTAGGAGATAATTTCTTTTACATGGTTTCATGCAAACAGCACTTTGTGCAAATGGTATTCCTTTCTGGAGGCCTCAAAAATATTTATAAAAATTCAATTGTCTTCCAAAGGAAACTCGCACAAAAATTGATTATTCTACTCTTTACTTAATTAAACTGCCATTTGGGTCAAGTTCTCTTCAAATCCTCAGCACCTGTGTCAATGAACTAATATACTGTAATATATTATACTCAAGTATATGTACATCTATTATTTTATTTATTAAATTTGTATGCCTTCCATCTCACTATCACACAACTATTATTATTACTGCATATAAATTTATTGTGAGCATTGACTAGGATTTTGATCCCATACATTGATTTTTTAGTTAACTGAAGAAGCTACAGAGCCTTTAAATAGTAAATACAAATAACCTCTAAGTAGTATTTTGGCTTAATCCTGTGATTTGCTTTCTAGAGCCAGAATCTTGATACTTTAACTATCATTAGCATTTTTGTTTCCTGTTAAAATTAGCTTAAATACAAAAATGTTGCCCCTTTTTACTACTGAGAATCATACTCAGTGGTGGTATTCAGCTGGTTCTATCTGGTTTGGGCGAACAGGTAGTGGCAGCTGTGGGAGGCTCCGCCCACCCACCCAGATGTCATCACGTCCCATTTTTGATGCTCTGCGCATGCGCGGAAGGCTCTGCACATGTGCGGAGGTGGCGCGGGTGAGTGAAGCGAGCGCGTGTGCATGCTCACATTTGCGAACCAGTAGCAAAAGTAAGTGAATACCACCCCTGCTCACACTTCACATATTCCCAACAAGTAAGTTTCTTGTAACAATAACAATGGTACTCATGATCCATAAGAAACATATTTTAAAATGCTGTTTATTAAGGGTATGCTGTTCTCATAAAAAGAACACAAGGGCAAAGTTTCCCTTCAGTAGCGTGGGTTTAAAATGTAATGGGCAGAAGAGAGAACTGCCTAGAATGTCATGGGCAGAAGAGAGAACTGCCTAGAATGTCATGGACAGAAGAGAGAAAGGACTAGAATGTCATGGGCAGAAGATAGAACTGCCTGTATATAGTGTATACACTTAGAGGACTAGCAGTGGTTTGCACAGTTTCATCCTACTTTGCAATAACAAAATCAGGTGTTTTAGAGATTTCTGCCTAGGTTAAGCCTAGCTAGCAGCCTAGTTAAACCACGTAAACTCAAGTTTATGTGACTTAGAGCTATATCCTGGTCTGAGAATCCTGACAGCTAGATCTTATAATAATGCTCAGTTCTACCTCTTAACTCACATAAAGCAAGATTACCATGATACAATGACTCCGTGTGGCCTAACAGCTGAAACTCAGTCCAAAATAACAAGAGGCATTATCTGATCAGTAAACAACTTAATATCGTTGGAAATACAGCCTACAAGACTACAAACTGTTTTTTCTTACCTAAACCAAGCCTGTAGGATAGGATCATTTTAAAAGTCTCAACACCTAAGGAAACTAACTCAAAGATACAAGGCTTTTGTGTGACGGTACAATGATTGTTCATCAGCATTCCAAAGGATAGGTGGCATAAATACAGCAATAGAAGAATTTTATTCTGCTTGGCTAACTGATTCACAAGCTTTATTTTTTTCTCCCTGATTTAGTGGCTGATATTAGGAACAAAAAAGCAGTCTTATGTGCCTTTAAAAATTGGATCTAAATACTGGACTAGTCTCAATATTACTCAAATAAACTTCCATACTATCGTCACTTATATTCTCTTCCATCACATGAAACCCCCTCAAAACCATCTGGAAGTTGTTCCAAGAAAAAGAAAGGGAGACATTTATCAGTTCTTTTAATAAACATAATACATTTGCAATGGATGGGTGGTACTTATGTATCTATTCAAAAGAGTAAGAAGCCCAGGTATATATATATAGGACTGAAGCTTTAGGCATGCCTACAGTAGAGAACACTTGAAATTAATGGTAGGGGTTATTAAAGATTAATGTCCTATTAATATCTAACCATATTGAAGTCTGCATCAATTAAAAATAATTGCCAAAATGACAATTGTCTATGAACCTCTGCTAAAATACAGCTATTTCTTAATTGGACTCGCTTAATGTAATAAAAAAGAAATTATGTGCATCTTTAGAATTTTGCTGTTAATACATTTTGTTTTCAATCTGCATTTCATAGGAAATGAGTATCACAGAATGGCCTATGATGAATGATATTTGGCCTGAAGTTAGAGAAAAAATGTACCTTTCTCATTAAGAGGAACAGAATATAAGGTTGTTCCAAAATATACAGAATTGTTACATTTTTTAAATCTCTTTTTCTAAACAAAATTATGAAAATAGCAATTTTAATACTATATTTAAAAAACTTAGGATATGTAAAAAATAATGTAATGCAACCTAAGAGTTATCACTGAAGTTTTTCAGGCTGAAACATTGTTCCATGATTTCTTCATACATTATGCTTAACGCATTGTAAACTGGCCTGAGTCTCCGGAGAAGGGCGGCATATAAATCAAATTTTAAAAAACTAAATTATATATTAGGTTAACTTGTCTTACTCAGAAAAACCACCTGAGTACCATAACAATCAACTGATGCAGGTAAGATCATCATGGATAGCTTGTCAAAGGACTGGTAAATTAATTTATCTGCTATACAACACATGTTATCATAACTTGTCATCACGGTGCGTTTCGCTATTCATTCTGATACTTATTTTATTTTGATTAGTTTTATTGCTTCTGATATCACTATTTAGTAAGAATAACAGCCTGGAAATTACTATCTATTATTAATCTGTAAACTGATACTGTTAACCAAGAGATAGATTCAAAAAACATGAAATAGAAGACATTATGTTAAAATTAGTTCAAAGCTCTTAATTTTGTAATATTAGCTAGTTCTGAAAAATCTTTTCTTTTTATTCATTCAGTCTTTTCCATACTGAATTGTTTTCAGCACTTAAAGACATTAAAGCCAAAAGACATTAAAGGTCAGTACTTTGTTTTCTCTTTTAAAAAAATTGTAAATACAAAGCTTCAAAGAAATGAATGGCAGCTGCCTTACCATAATACATATCTAAGTCAATAAGGTGAATAGGTTTGTACAGAACTGTTTTCCACAAGGCAAATGTTCTAGAATAGTCTTTTCCAACCTGGGCACCTTTAAACTGTATGACTCTAAAATTTCCAAAATTCCTTAGTCAACATGACCATAGTTCATAATCCTGAGAACTAAAATCTACACATCTGGAGGACACCACAATTTTGGAAGGATAACTTAAACCATATCTCATCAACGTAGGCTGTAAATCTGCATTCTGACATCCAGAAGACAAAATTATCTACTCCTGGAATAAGAATTACCCAGTATTCTTTATAGATGAAAAGTTGCTGGAACTATTAGACACAGCTTTGAATGAAACACTGTATTCAAACTTTAGAAAACAGAAATGTGTTATAATTAAAGGAAAAGCTATTCCCATTGTCTTATCTCTCTCCATATATTTATTTACAAATAAATATGGAGAGAGATAGGTTTTGCCCCATCTTACAACCTTTCTTACCACGGTTGTTAAGTGAATCACTTGACAAGTTAGCAACCCGATTGTTAAGTGAATCAGGCTTCCCCTCTGAATTTGCTTGTCAAAAGGTTACAAAAAGTGACCACATGACCTTGGGACACGGCAATGGTCATAAGTATGAACCAGTTGCCAAGCATCTGAATTTTGATCACATGATCATGGGGATGTCACAAAGGTTGTAAACTATGAAAAATGGTCATAAGTCACTTTTTTCAGTGCTGTTGTAACTTTACTTACAACAGTTCAGTTAGTGACTGCTCAGAGGACTACCTATACACACATCATAAATTCCTTGTAAGCCTCACCCACCCCGAATAAATTTCCCATATTTTTTTTCAGATCTAGACTTTCCTCTTGCCAAAAGTCAGCCACATATTATGAAATTAGCTTTGATACCCCAATTGTCATCCGTAATTATTTTTCTGAATTGGTATGCTGTACTATAGGAGTAGTTCAGCATTCACAGATAGCAAGCAAGTCATTTTATGCACGTGCTGCTTCATGTTAAGGAATATACTTTACATTTTCTAACTGCATTATATAAAATAGAGGCAGTACATTATGTCATTACTCATTCATAATGCTTTGCGACTAAATCTGTATCTTTCCTTGGTTACATAACAGCATAAGAGAACACACAGAGACTTTTTAAAAGATAAATTTAAATGTGATACTATTTAAACGATGCATATACATTTTATAGATCTGTAGGGTACAACATTCTCCTATATAACTGATCACATTTGCCACCTCATTTACTCAATCAAATAAATCACATGTAAAGTTATGTCAAAAGTTATAGAAAAGATCAACTTTATAATGTAGAGCAATTAATGTACAATGCAAATTTGATCTGGGGGAAAATAATCAATTTAAATTTAGGGCTGGGATAAATACTGCAATCTGTTTTTATAATTAGTTGTTATAACCTAATAAAGAAAGTCCATTCCACGGTGCATATATTGGTGCCCTGAAAAAAATTAGAATCTAATCACTAGATGAATACTAGCAAGGATATTTCACGTATCATTTATGATACCATTTTAAATTAAAAGTACTGATAAAATTAGTGGTGATGGCTACTATGCACATTAGTGGGATTTCCTTATATAAAATTTATAATAAAATATCTAAAAATTCTATAAGCAAATATTGTAAAACAAAGGACAACAGAGTATATTAATTTATGAACCTCATTCTGTTGTGACAAGAAGCAATTTATGCTATCATTAAATATATTGGAGTATAGGTGAGAAATACAAATATCGTTAATTTCTCAAAATAATAATTTACCTTTATTCAGAAAAATATAAGGGAAACTTTGCTAACTGTATGAGTTCTTGACTAAACTACCGTTTATCACAAAGCATACATTGTAAATTAATGACTTCCAGCTCAGTATATCATTATTCACCATAAGTTAATTATCAGAAAAGAAACTCCTAAATATCTCACTCAAGAAAAAAGGACCAGACATCCTAGCTGAATATATAATACAATCTTAATTAAGTTAATGAAGTCAAAGAATTTGCCCTAATTTAAAATAGTAACAATGTAGTAAGTCTCAACCAGAATTCTTATGATTTCTAAGGGAGTTTCTCTGTATAAGACAGTATTTTGGCTTATAAAAAGAATCTTCCAGTACAATGGTCTTCAAAAATCAGAAAAACTACAGTAATAACAAGAAAGAGGAAACACCAGGTTCCCCTCAATGTATTTTTCATACTATAATAATAAATATGACAAAATAATTAAATAATTTAAAATAATCTATATGACAAAACTGCAATGCAAATTCGTGGTTTTTGTTAGTTTAAACTCTTTTTCCACAGCAGCATATCCACCAGTGTTAACATTAACCATATATAGTCTAAAGCAGTTTGAAGCTGGCATAATTGCAAAACGCAGTCTGGTGTTTCAGAGTAAGAGAAGAATTTATCTCCTATATATCAGCAGGAAGGAGGAGCATGTCAACCCACAGAGTTGTCCTCACAACCAGGAGATAAGGTAGCATTGTGTTTCAGCAAAGCTGAAGCATGAACTGGCCTTGCTGAAACATTTTACTTTTAAACGGTTATACCTATGACCTATAACACAAGTTTCAACAGGTGATAGTAATAGATCTGTACAGCACTTTAAATAAACTGTACATAATAGCCACTCCGGAGACTATACCATTTGATCACATTTGGACTAAGAATCAAGTTTATCTCGGCAGTCAAAATAATGTTTAAACTTAAAACTTTCTGACTCTTGAAAGAAATATAAGGTCATGACATCACTATACTGAACCTTAAGAAATATATGTAATGTACAGAACTTAAAAGAATTAAGTACTTCAGTCATACTGCCTACACACTTCATGATCAATATTTCCAATGGAATAACTGAACCTTAAAAAGTCATGTTCATTTAAACAGCACCAATCTGTACATCTTGAAGGCAATGATTTTTCCCTTTTATTTACAAAAGGAGATGAATAGTACTGTTAAACAGAATTTCGCAAAAAGAAATAAGTACAAGTGGTTTAATCAAGAATTTAAAAAGACAACTTGTGCTGGTGAAATGATTGTACTTCAGGCTATAATTCAGAAACCAGAAATATGGAGAAAGTTTTAATTTAAAGGCTGGGGACTACATAAAAAAATTAACTTCAATTCATTAGCAGTTTGAGGAGCTGCTACTGTAATGAAAAAGAACGGAACTTAGCCACAGATGCAGGAAACCATGATTTTAAAAAGGAAAATAGAGGAGAAACAATGCAACAGATTAAGGAAAAATGAATCATATAAAGATGCGCATCGGGAAACATTGCCTTATAGGAAATAGCTATGCAAATACTATGAAAATATAAAACTAAGCACAAGAAATATGCTCAGTTCTCAAAAAAAATATAGGGAAGAAAATCAAACTTGTCTTTGCACCCTGCCTCTGTCATGGAATTTTGTAGTGTTCCTGACAACTATCCTAGCTTATTCACTTGTGTCTTTTAACATTTCTATTTTTTAATTTTAAAAAAAACCTTTAAAATGTGGTGGCAGTTAAAAAAACATGTCCTGTATGTAGTTTAAGTGAAATCCTGTTAAGAACGGTATGAAACCATACACCTTTAAACTGGAAAACAAAAATAAAGAAAAGATGAATAGTCAATATAATTAGAACTGAAGGCAAGAAAGCTTGAACTTACTTTGAGAAGTTTGCAGCGGATTTGTGCAGAGACCATGTGGCTGTTGCGAAGGTTGCCCACCCTGAACATGAGGGTGAGTTTGCCATCCCTCATGGATATGGCAGCATGTTCGCTAAACATCAGTGTCTCCGCCCGTTTTTTAGGTTGGGACATCTTGATAAACATACAGCCTATAAGAAAAGCATCCACAATGGAGCCCAAGATGGACTGGAAAAGAAAGAGGATGATGCCCTCCGGGCATTTGTCTGTAATGTATCTGTAGCCATACCCAATAGTAGCCTCTGTCTCTATGAAGAAAAGGAAGGCAGAGGGGAAGTTGTAGACATTGGCAACACACGGGGTATATTTCTCATCGTGGGCTTTGTTCAAGTCACCCCGCATGTAGGCGATGACCCACCACATGGAGGCCATGAAAAGCCAGGCCACGGTGTAGGTGAGGATAAAGATGAAAAGGTTCCAGCGCCACTTGAGGTCCACCAAGGTGGTGAACAAGTCCGACAGATAGCGGCTCGTCTCGCTGCCCAGGTTGCCATGCTGCACGTTACACCTGCCATTCTTGTCCACAAACCTTTGGCGCTTTTTCTTGTGGGGCACTTTTTCTTGCTGCTGGTGGAAGCCTGACCCACTGGACGAGGTGGTCACTACTTGATAATCGTCCCCAAATTTCCTTCGAAGTGCAGACATAATACCAAGAGGGCGGCCAGGGTCTCCAAGACCAAGAAGGCAGCCAGAGTCTCCAACCTGCAGTGTGCCAGAGGTGAGAAATGGGATACTCTGCTTCACCTTTCCCCTTCCTTTCTAACCCTTCCCCTCCCTTCTGTTCTCTCTCTTCCCTCCCCCCCCCTCCCCCCCTTCCCTCTTTAACTTTGGAGCTCCCCCCCCCCCCCCGGTTTTCAAAATTCGCCTGGTTCTTCGGGGCCACCAGCCTGCTTGCCTTTTGCTCGAGAGGGTAAGCCTTCCGGGATGCTCCTTCCTTTCCACTCGGACCCAGGACGAGCCCGCGTTAGAGAAGCCCCATTTTCGGCGTTACCTTCCCTGGCACTTCAATCGGCCATCCCTGGAAGTTCAGAAAGGTGGCCCGGAGGAGAGGAGAGGAGAGAAAAGAAAAGAAGGCTGGTCGCCGCGCAAAGTAGCCGCAGTCGGTCAGACGGGCAGCAGCCGCCTTCGGGCGCCGATTCCTCTCCTCAGCGAGGAGCGGGCATCGCACAAAGGCATCGCTGGGCAGAGCTCGCCGGCGCTCCCTTTCTCCTGCCAAGAAGCCCAAAAGAAGAGCCAGCCCAGCGGGCAATTACAGCGCCGGCTCCACCGTAGCGCCCTTCATGCCTCCTAGCCAGCCGGCTTCGCGCCTAACCGCCGGCGCCCTCCTTTGACAGCAGCAGCAGCAGGAAGATGCGAAGGAGCCCCCCGAGCGGAGGAAAAGCCGCCGCCACAGCTTCAACCTTGGGCGGCGAGCGGCTGCCTCATTCCGCCCGAGGACTTGTTCGGCGGGTGCAAGTCGGCATTGGCGCGGCTGGCCCCTGGCGGGCTCCGGGAGAAGGCGTGCGTGTGTGGGGGGGTCTCCTTAAGCCTGCCTTTCAACCAAGGCGGGGGACAGCCATGGCTCTTCCACGGATTGCCATATCCCGTGGCTTCTTTTGCTGCTAATAAATCTCCAAGGGCAGTTCGATCCCCGGGCGACAAGCCAGAAACTGAGGGAGGGGAGAGAGAGAGAGAGAGAAAGAAAGAAAGAAAGATCCTTCCTGAACAGGCTTGGCAATTCTTTCTCCCTTTCCCTCCCCGGTTTTTGTTGTTTTGGTTTGTTGTTATTTTTTTTCCCCCTTCCTCCGAAATTGAGAACTAGAGAAATGCAGGCATGTAATCCACCTTGCTTCTGTGCTCTCTGCTCTTCAGCCCGAGGGGGATGGCGCTCTCGGGGCAATTTTTCTCCTCCTCATGCTATAAGCGGGAGGCGGGAGTTGACGACGCTGGTTGGGCGCTGTAGCGAGGCGGGAACAGCGGCAGCTGAAGGCGGCTCAGGCGCCGGGTGTTGAGTTAATGCATGCGGTGATCTGCAGACCTTATGTTTCAGCCCCGCCTGTCCCTCGTTTTCTTTTCCCACACCCCGCCTGATTTTGCACCTCCATTTCGCTCTCCAACGCCAAAGGCGACGGCGGCGACAAAGGGTACCGCTACCACAGAGCCAATGAGCCGTGCAAGCCCCTCGGTTGTACACACAGGTTTTTTTCCCCCTTCTTCTTCTTCAAGCATCGCCAACCCCCCCACATATAGCGACAGCTGCTGTCACTAAGGAGGAGAATGTGTCAGCTCTAGTATTACAGCATCTAAGCTTTCAAAAACAACAACAAACAAAACTAACGGATGCCCTCTGGGGCTTTCATCGTAAAAGAATTAGCCCGATGAAATAATTTGAGTGGGTGTGGGTAAAAGTCAAATGTTGCCTTAAAAACAGATTCTGCCACTTGGGTTTTGTTTTTTAATGCCTGAGAAAATAGTCTTTTCCCTAATTCCATTAAAGGGGGGGGGGGAATGCTGCAAATTCTAATAGCAAGCTGCAGCTGCTGCCCAGCTTCAAATCATAAAAGAATCCTGCTCACCTGTCCCTCTGAAATTGCATAATACCTCTTATCTACCCCACTAAATGCAGTTAATTTAATTGTACTAATAGCCAATCCCTGGCACTGTTTGCTCAGAAGAGAGTGCTGAATGAGATATGGTCTGTGAGATCTAGAATGGAAAGGAAACAAAGTTGGCAAATAGATCCTCACTTCCGCCACAGGTAATGAGAAAAAAAAAAAAAAGATGAACGGAAAAGGAAGAATTGGAGGAGATGACAGCATTGGCAAAAATTCTTCTGCATTAAACTGAAAACATATGGTGCACCGATAAGTGGTTTCTGGATTTCTTTCAAAAATGTTAACATCTATCAAATATGAATCTTTTTCAGTGCAATTCTCTCTGTGCCTATGTGGAACATGCTCCCAAGTAAATACACTGTCATTTTTACTTAAAAAAAAAAAACTTTCTACCAAAAATTGAAAATTGCTGCATACTCCATCCCCAATTCTTAAATTAGATACATTCTAGTTAAGAAATACAGTACAGATATAGTCAATGAAAGATTAGTTACATAATTTGATACTTATGTTACAGGAAACATAAAAATACATAAGTGTAAACCATAAACCAACAAAATATCATCATTCCTCTACTAGAATATTTTTTAAAAATCCAATATACCATTCTGCATTATTTGGAGATTTAATAGGAAGCTGTAATAAACATCTATGTAGTATTGACACTGCTGATTTAAATTCAGTTCTAACATGTTGTACATAATATGAATTAAATGTTCACTTAGCATATAAAATGAAACAAGCATATGTTTTATCAATGAAATGTTTATATGCAGGATCTGCAGACAGTGTCCAGTTGTTTGTATATATGCTGTTCAGAAAACCTATTGAGTTCAATAGGATTTACTTCTAAAAAGTACAGGTCAGTGGTGGGTTGCCCCCGGTTCGCACCAGTAACTGGTAGTAAAACCGGCAGGAGGCTCCGCCCACCGACCCCGACATCATCAAAATGTTTCTGCGCTTGCACAGAAGAGTTAACATGTGAGCGAAGCAAGCGCACGTGCGCGCGGCCCCGCTGCAAACCGGTAGTAAAGGTAAGTAGAACCCACCTCTGGTACAGGTATATAGGAGCCTGAGGGAATAGTTGTTGCAGTGAATGCTAATATATTTGTTTCATTTAAGGTTACAACCCATTTTTAGTAAAAATAGAAACTGTATGGAAATCTGAATCTTATTGATACAAAAGTTCAGAATTGCAATTGATTTAACAAAAATCCAGCTTTTCATATAATTATTATCCCTACCAAGGTGTAAATGAGTGTTTACATATTTGCTTAAAGTCAAAACAAAGATTTGTGGAAGCTGCTGAAGTCAGTGATAATGACCTGATTGTTATATACAGGTGATCCTCATTTAGCAATCACAATTGGGACCAGCAACTTTGTCATTAAATAAATAATTTCCCCCTATATGGGAAATCATGTGACTACAATCATGTGCTTTCCTTTCCCACTCCTCCATCTTTTGGAAATGCTGGCATAATTAGTAAGAAGAGAATTAATGTTTATATTTACATTCAATAGAGATTACAAGAGAGTAAGCAGGTACCCAATGGGTAATACATATCAAAATGAATGCAATGTTGCTGACAGCCTGAAGCATGCTCAGGGCTGGGAGTTGCAAGCACATTGTGCAAACAGTCTGATATATTCCGCATTGTGTACTTGTTTACTCTTTTGTAATCCCTTTCACTCCAATCTATTCTCTACTTTGTGGAGAGAGAGAAACAGGTCAGGCGCAGGAGAGTTTGTTTTTAGAAATTGGTTGTTTGCCTCCCCTCATTTAAGCAATGTTTTTCAGTCTGGGGGAGGCGGGGAATCAAGCAATTTCTTTAGGCACTTTCTCATGTGCCTGACCTGGGTTGTTGTTGTTTTTTCCCCCCTTCTCTCCTGTCTCTCCGGTGTCTCCTGTACCACAAGGAGGGGAAAAAAAGAAAAGCAGGTCAGACACAGGTCAAGATATACTGACTGTAATGGTGATCACATGACTGAGAAATGCTGCAAATGTTGTAAATGTAATGGGCTTTGATCATCAAGTTATTTTTCTTCAGCCCCACGACAAGTTCGAAAGCTCCCTGAATAAGGCAGCCAGTTAGCAAGTTCCATCTGTATTTTCACTTGAGAACTACTGCTACATTCAGCCTAAATGTGATTCCTTTTTAAATCTAGAATCTCTTATTTTTTTTAGCAAGTTTAGTAGAATTTCGAGTTCCTTTCACCAGTTTTTCTGTACTTTCATATTTTCATCTAAGATTATTTTTAATAGGATTAGAACCACAGACATTTTCTCATGTGTTTCTGAGAAAAACAAGTACGCAATATGTACAGTGTTATTAATAATGTAATAAAATTGATTTTGCAGTTACACTTCAAGGAATAGTAATTTATTTCTTAGTCCATTAAAGTAAATAACTGACTAAAGTATAACATATGACTGAGTAAAATCTTTTTTAAATCATATATTTTTCTTGTTGTTGTTAGTTGCAAAGTTGTGTCCGATCAGGGGTGAAATACTACCGGTTCGGACCGGTTTGGTCAAACCAGTAGCGAGAGCAGCGCGAGGCTCCGTCCACTCGCCCGGTTGTCGTTACTTCCTGGTTTTAATCCTCTGTTTTTTACCCTCTGTGCATGCGCAGAAGGATTTGCGCCTGCTCAGAGGGACCATGAGGTGTGTGCACTTCCGAACCGGTAGAGAAAGTAAGTAGATTTCACCCTGTGTCCGACCCATCATGACCACATGGACAACGGTCCTCCAGGCCTTCCTGTCCTCTACTATTCCCAGGAGTCCATTTAACTCACGCCTACTGCTTCAGTGACTCCATCCAGCCACCTCATTCTCTGCCATCCCCTTCTTCTTTTGCCCTCTTTTTCTTGTAACTTGATGCTAAGCAAAGAAATGGATTTCAAAGCAGAACTGCTTTTGAGAAATCTCATTGGTGAATGGATTGATCCTAAACACCCCAAAAATGTGGTTTTGTCAGCAGGCAGTGGGGACCATCAATAGAGAGGGAGCCAATCAAGTGATTACAGGTTTTTTTGCCATGAGGAATGGAGTGTGTTTTTTTACATGGGTTTTTATTATATAGTTGGATTGTTTAAATTTTGTAAGCCACACAGAATCACCTATGTGCATGTTGGATGCATATAAAATGAATTACAAATTACTGAACTCAAATTTCTAAATTAAGCAAAGTCATACTTCTTTTAATTTCTTTGTATTCAAGAAAGTTTAGGCCTGCAAAATAAATGAAAGTACACAGGGGAAAATATTTATTTCTATTTTTTTTAAAAAAAAAACAATAAAACAGATTACCATTTAACATTACTTTATTTATATGTGTCAGGGTTGTCTTTTGGTTTCTGTAAGTAGGATCTTAGAAATACACCACTTATTCTGAATTACTATTGTACTGGCTGTTGCAAAGCAATTTCAGAAATAAACACATCATACTAAGGAAATGCCTTGTTCCAACTTTCTATTCTGTTTCTGGGTTCTTTTGTCAGTATGTTTTATGATGAATAACAAGTTCATAATCACCAATAACAGTTAAATTATTGAAATGAAATTATAATTAGAGAATTTTATACTAATAATTCATTAGCTCATTATCTTCAGATATCTGAACAAGTATTTCCAATTCTAACAGTAACTCCTAAGGCAGTGATGGCTAACCTTTTTCTCATGTGCCGAAAGCATGCACATGCGTGACAGTGCACATGCATGCCAGCACCCATAATGCAATGCGG